TTAATAAATTATAAGCAAAAACTATACTAAACAATCTAGCATAGACTCTCAGAATAAATAAAAAAAAATTATAAGCCGCTCAGATAAATTGCACCAAACACTACCATACTCTAATGTTGCACTATCATACACATACTTGTTGACAAATGTTAAAAATTTATAATTTATAATTTTAAATCCGTCCACAATGATTTAAGAAAGAGTTAAAATTTTATGATTGACAAATCAAAAATTAACATTTATCATTTAAAATTATTGTACATCAAATTATATGAATTTTTATTTAGAGATTTTATACATTCTTCACTTAAAAAATACTAAAAAAGAAGGTAATAAATAAATAAAGAGCAAATTATAATAAACTTAAACTATGACCAATTTGCTTTTTGTTCCTCTAAACTTCAAAACTCAACAGTTAAACCACCTTAAAATATTATCTTGTTACAATTAATCATTTTTATTAGAATTTTGTTAGGGATTTACACAAAGTCAAATCATATATAAAGCACATCACACATTTATTTAATTTTTAGGGCAATAATGTATTTATCTAGTGATTCTGTTTGCACTTTACCACTAAGATAAAAAAGACAAAATACAAATGAAATTATTAGATAAGAGTATCATTGCTTTTAAAAAATCAATAACGGATATTATTATTCTAAAAAATAATAAGTGTATCATGTATTTCACACATGAATTGATTTCGTTAAAATTCCAAGACAAAATCCTAACAAAATGTATTGAGTGTAAAATGATGAAAATTCAAAGTAGTTAACTGTTACATTTTGAAGTTCAAAGGGACAAATGACAAATTAATTATATAGTTTAAGAAGGTTTATGGTAATTTACCAATAATAATAAAAAAAAAAAATTATGCACTAGTCGTGGGACAAATTCAAATAGTGTCATAATTTGTTATTAATTGATTAAAATTATGGGATCTAATATTCTTTCCTAACCGCTTCGCTTCCTCCGTTTGGAAAGCAAGTTTTGCACAAAAATAACCAAAACTTTCAATCACATTTTTGATTTTTTATACGTATTTAATAAAATGTTAATAAAAAATTAATTTAAATAGTCAATTTCCAAATGAGCTGTAAAACCTCGTTTGGAAACATGTTATTTTAATTTTTTTTTTTTGAATATTTTACTAAAATATGAGATAAAAAAGAAAAATGCTAGAGACTCCCAAAAGATTTATCAAAAAAATTCTACCAAATGACATGACTGTAAGATTCATACCATGTGGGTCTTATGTGTGTCTTGCACCCACGTGAGACATTTAATAAATCTTTTAAGTCTCTAGAATTACTAGGAAAAAAAATAGTATGTTTGAAATGATTTTTTGACTTTTTATGAAAAAATTAAAAAAAAAATAGAGAAAAAAAAGGAGAAATCTTTGACATTTTTATATAATTTACTAATTTTTTTTTACTTATTTAATGATTTTTTTAAAAAAAAATTAGGTTAAAATCAACGAATAATACTAGAGTTCATAAAAAAATCATAAAATATTTTATAAAATTTTTTCATTTTTTAATTAATATATAATATTTTATTACATATATAATCTCACAATGAAAAATCTTCCATAACCATCCTCATAATATTTTCTTCATTATCCCTGTCATTACTCAAAATCAACCCTTCCTAAACAATGCTTGAGAATTACAAAAAGTAAGCATAGTAGAGAGTGTTATTACTATAAGCAGTGATGAGCGTGGAATACGATGAGCATATCTTTGGTATGCTGAATATTCCAAAAAACCCTGTTCACACCACACCCAGTTGTCACACCACATCTACTAGTCAACACAAAACGACAGTCCATAATATAAATAATTAATGCTCAGAAAATTTTAACTTTTTAGTTAGATCTGTTTGGTTCCCGAGAAAAAATTGAAGAAAACTATCAGGCAAAAATAAGCATTTATGGGATACCCAAGAAAAATTTATCACCTAAAATTATGTAAAAATGCTACATTAGGATTAAACTTGTGGCACATTCCTTGTGTATCAAATTGGAGTTATTGTATAATTATTTAAATTTTATTAACTAATATTTTAACAAATTTTTAACAATTGTCATTGGATCTCACAATAGATCATGCTAATTAATAAATTATTCAGCTTGCTTGATTTGAATTTTTAAAATTCACTTTTAAAAAAATTAATTTTTTTATATTTCATATATTTTTTTTACTTAATTTTTTAAAATATTCTAAATTAATTTTTTAAATTTCTAAATACACTTAACAAGTATTATATTTATAAAAGAAAATATTTAGAAAATTCAGTAAATATCAAAAATATTTTTTAAAAAATTAAAAATTCAATACATTTTTCATATTCTTGTATATTTATTGATTTTTTAAAATATTTATTTATAAATATTTTATTTTTTAAATACATCTAAGTAAGGTACATCTAAAAAATAAAAAAAAATATATTTAAAATTTTAAAAATATTCACTAAAAAAAAAAAAAATTAAAAATTCAATTTTTTAAAAATTAAATCTAAAAAATTGAAACCAAACACAATCATTATTTCTTTGATAGTGAGAATTGTAAAATGATTTAAGCTTTTTTTAACCTAATTTATTTTGCAAAGATAAACATATTTTGAAAATGTTACTTTTTTTTTATCGAGTCAATAAATTTATATACATTGTAAAAGAAATAATTAAATTTGCACATTTATACATTCAAATTCAATTTGACTAAATATCGTTTGAGATTTTATCGAAAGACAAACAAGTTAAATTTGCACATTTTGAAATTCATTCATTAAAATTTTAAATTAAGCTTGAACAATCTTTTTTTTGAACAACAATTTAAACACTACTATTCAACTTAATTAGTTTACACTGTCTCCAGATCAGGAATTTGAAAAAAAAAAAAAATTAAGCAAAAATTTAACTTACACTTCATTAAAATTTCTTTTACATCTTTTTTTTTCTTCAAATCTCATCCCAAATTCGTAATACAAACACACCTCACAATTTTATTTATAATTGATGAGACTCCAATGTAACACCTATATTGCCACTGGGCCAAGGCAAAATAGACTTTTAACTCCACTAAAATGATGAATAATAATGAATAAAAAAGATTAGTCAACAAATTTAGCACCCAAATTTTTAAGAAAATTACTATTCATACTCTACTTTTGCTTTCTATCATTTAAATTTTGTTCTTAACCAAAACACAATATAGAGTGTGAATAGCCAGTGAGGGGTGTAAATAACAATCTCCATTTTGAAAATTCAAATGAAATCATAACTAAACCAATTTGGCCATCTTCCAAATAGTTATGGTGCTGCCAAACCTCGCCAAAACAAACAGCATGATTACCAACTGACAAGGTCACATTTAAAAACAATAAAACAACAAGAAGAAAGAATTACTGCAGATCTATACTATAGATTCAAATTATGATACTAAAGATTTTGAGTCCTCTGTTGAGTTCATCACTCTTTATTCTGCTCTCCCATGTTATGCGCTTTCTTCTACCCACCTCCATTTCCTTATAACTCTCTCTCTCTCTCTCTCTAGTTTCATCAGATCTAGTCTCCGCAATTCCAACTGGGCTCTTCTCAATTGCCACAACAAACTCAACAAAAGCCTCGTTCGACTCCGGTTTCGCCACCTTCAATTCAAATGAATTCCTCCCAGTTCCATCACCCAACCCATCTAAATTTTTGCTTGGACCATCCGAAGATTTATTTGAAACCAATTTTGCTTTTGTATCTACGGATTCATCCAAAGCCTTGTTGGACTCTGGCTTCACTTTCCTCAATTGAACTAAATTCCTCTCGTTTCCATCATCAGATTCACCAACTAACTTCTGGGATTCAGAGTTTGCCTTCCTAACCTGATTTAGCTTTCTCTCAGTTCTTTCAACAAACACATTTAGCTCCTTAGATTCCTCAGATCTTGTCTTCATTTTGTGAAATGGGCTTCTCTCAATTCCATTAACATACACACTTAGTTGCTCAGATCTTGATTTCTTTGACCAAACTGGGTTTTTCTTGATTCCGTCAGTAGATACACTCAACTCCTTACACTGTACATCCAAATTCTTGTTTATTTCAGATCTTTGCCTTGCAATCTGAATTGGGCTTCTCCCAAGTCCATCAGAATTCTCAGATTTCCATGTCTTCCTCTTGCCACTGACCCTAATAGGACTTGGTCTTGGTCTCAAACTTTTGTCACCACTCTCTTCTGAGTTCTCTTCTTCACCATGGAAGATTTTGAGTCCTCCGTTGAGTTCATCACTCTTTATTCTGCTCTCCCATGTTATGCGCCTTCTTCTACCCACCTCCATTTCCTTATAACTCTCTCTCTCTCTCTCTCTCTAGTTTCATCAGATCTAGTCTTCGCAATTCCAACTGGGCTCTTCTCAATTGCCACAACAGACTCAACAAAAGCCTCGTTCGACTCCGGTTTCGCCACCTTCAATTCAAATGAATTCCTCCTAGTTCCATCACCCAACCCATCTAAATTTTTGCTTGGACCATCCAAAGATTTATTTGAAACCAATTTTGAGTTCTCTTCTGAGTTCTCTTCTTCACCATTGAAGACTTTGATTCCTCCTTTGACTTCATCACTCTTCATTCTGCTCTCCCAAACAGAACCTGCCACCACACCATTTCTTGTTGTGCGCTTTCTTCTACCCACCTCCATTTCCTTATAACTCTCTCTCTCTCTCTGTCTAGTTTCTCCTGTAATGAGTACACTAGGGTCACTGGTTTTTTCTTTTTTTTCTTTGAACGGAGGGGCTGTGGTTATTATCAATGGAATAGAGTAAGCATAGTGGACAGTATTATTACCGCATGCAGTGAGCACTGCATGCGGTAATAATACTCTCTACTATGCTTATTCTATACCATTGATAACAACCACAGCCCCTCCGTTCAACCCTTCCTAAACAATGCTTGAGAATTACAAAAAGTAAGCATAGTAGAGTGTTATTACCGTAAGCAGTGATGAGCGTGGAATACGATGAGCATATCTTTGGTAAGCTGAATACTCCAAAAAACCCTGTTCACACCCAGAGTCAGCACAAAATGACAGTCCATAATATAAATAATTAAATAATGCTCAGAAAATTTTAACATTTTGATTAGATCTATTTGGTTTCCGAGAAAAAATTGGAGAAAACTATCAGGCAAAAATAAGCATTTATGGGATACCCAAGAAATATTTATCACGTAAAATTATGTAAAAATGCTACATTAAGACTAAACTTGTGTCACATTCCTCGTGTTTCAAATTGGAGTTATTGTATAATTATTTAAATTTTATTAACTAATATTTTAACAAATTTTTAACAATTGTCATGGATCCCACAATAGATCATGCCAATTAGTAAAATTATGCAACTTGTTTGATTTGAATTTTTAAGATTTATTTTTTTTAAAATTAAGCTTGTTTTTATTTTTCAAAAAGCACTTTTTAAAAAGTTATATTTTCTTATTTTTCGTGTCTTTTTGTTTTTATTAATTTTTTTTAATATTTTAAGCAATTTTTTTACTTTTTAGACACACGTAGCATAATACACCTAAAAAGTAAAAAAATTGTAAAAAAAATCTTTTAAAAATTCACTAAATACCAAAAATATAAAAAAAAAATTCAAAAATTCAGTACCATTTTTATATTTTTATGTATTTATTAATTTTTTAAAATATTTTTTCACAAATTTTTTACCTTTTAGATACATCTAACTAAGGCGCATCTAAAAAAGTAAAAAAAAAATATTTTAAATTTAAAAAATATTCACTAAAAACAAAAGAATACGAAAACCAAAAAACTCAATTTTTAAAAAACTTAATCCAGAAAATTGAAACCAAACGCACTGAATTTTTTTTTATTTTTCTTTTCTTTTTTTTCACTAATTTTTTTTAAATATTCAAAGTAATTTTTTTTAATTTTTAAATACACGTAACATAAATACACTTAACAAATATAATATTCGTAAAAAAAATACTTAAAAAACTCACTAAATACCAAAAATATTAAAAAAAATTAAAAAATTCAATACATTTTTCATATTCTTGTATATTTATTGATTTTTTAAAATATTTATTTATAAATATTTTATTTTTTAGATACATCTAAATAAAGTGCATTTAAAAAAAGTAAAAAAAATTGTTTAAAAATTTAAAAATATTCACTAAAATAAAAAAAAAATTAAAAATTCAATTTTCAAAAAATTAAATCTAAAAAATTAAAACCAAACACAATGATTATTTCTTTGATAGTGAGAATTGTAAAATGATTTAAGCTTTTTTTAACCTAATTTATTTTGCAAAGATAAACATATTTTGAAAATGTTACTTTTTTTTATATCGAGTCAATAAATTTATATACATTGTAAAAGAAATAATTAAATTTGCACATTTATACATTCAAATTCAATTCGACTAAATATCGTTTGAGATTATATTGAAAGATAAACAAGTTAAATTTGCACATTTTGAAATTCATTCATTAAAATTTTAAATTAAGCTTGAACAATCTTTTTTTTGAACAACAATTTAAACACTATTATTCAACTTAATTAGTTTACACCGTCTCTAGATCAGGAATTTGAAAAAAAAAAAAAAAAAAACATTAAACAAAAATTTAACTTACACGTCATTAAAATTTCTTTTTTTTTTTTTTTTTTTCCAAATCTCATCCCAAATTCGTAATACAAACACACTTTACAATTTTATTTATAATTGATGAGTCTCCAATGTAACACCTATATTGCCACTGGGCCAAGGCAAAATAGACTTTTAACTCTACTAAAATGATGAATAAAAAAGATTAGTCAACAAATTTAGCACCCAAATTTTAAAGGAAATTACTATTCATACTCTACTTTTGTTTTCTATCCTTTAAATTTTGTTCTTAACCAAAACACAATATGGAGTGTGAATAGCTAGTGAGAGGTGTAAATAACAATCTCCATTTTGAAAATTCAAATGAAATCATAACTCACCCAATTTGGCGATCTTCCAAATAGTTATGGTGCTGCCAAACCTCGCCAAAACAAACAGCATGATTGCCAACTGACAAGGTCACATTTAAAAACAATCAAACAACAAGAAGAAAGAATACTGGAGATCTATACTATAGAAAAGGAAAAAAAAATTGCCTAAACTTCCTATTGAGTAGATCAAATTCACTTCGAAAGTAATATATAGAATCAAGTTTAAATCTATACTATAGATTCAAATTTTAAACATTATTCTGATATTTTTTCTGAGTATCTAGAATTGTTACTCGATAAACTATAGAAAATGAGTGAAATGAAACTCACCTTCATTGTAGTGGCAGGATCTCCACAAAAAAGGGCTCTGAACTTACTTTAGAAGAAACTCATTCAAATAAGGAAGAATCATTTTTACTAACCATACTGCCTCTTCTTCCCCAACAATGTAGTCTTGGTTTGTATCATCTCCTCCTATAACTCCCCTGTTATTTTTTTTCCAAAATTATAGCAAAAAAAAAAAAAGAAAAGAAACCATCAAACAAGTCTTTAATTAACTCCTATGTGGTAAATGAACTTTCCCATAAAAATAAAAAAGAATAAAGGGAGTTTCAGATGAATAGGAAACAGACAAATAATCGAAAATGACATGTGTCTGGTGCAATGAGAACTGTGCGAAAATGACACAGTTCAATTTGCAATTATTTTGCTCTTTTTCATTTATCTAAAGTTCTTCATTTAATAAATTACCTGCAAATAATGGATTTGAATAAGAAGATTACAGCAAGATAGACAAGAGCCAGATAAGAAACCGCAGTTATGAAGCTGTAAAATCATCAAAGAGTGTTTTTAGCTCTGTGCTCTGTTTTGAAACAGGGGATGAGTAAAATGAACAAGAAAAATTGGATAATGAGCATGGTTAGAGTAGTTGTGTTGTGTCATATGAGCTTGGAGTATTATTTCTGACCTGATATTGATATCTTTGGTGTAAGATGATGCAATTATGATAAATGTTCCAACACCGAACATGAATGCTGATTTTGAGACATCTCTCTACATAACCAAATCAACTGTTAAAATTTAACAAACATCACAAATGAATGCTTGAAAATGGAGAGGTATAGTGAAGTAGCATCCAAAAAAATGAAAAAAGAAATCAAATCCATCCATCAGTGAAAACTTGCCTGAACTCTGCAATTTATTATGGGTTTGAGAAATCCTCTGGAATCCAGTCTGGGTTTCAGGACGACTCTCTGCTGAGTTCTCTTCTTCACCATGGAAGATTTTGAGTCCTCCGTTGAGTTCATCACTCTTGATTCTGCTCTCCCATGTTATGCGCTTTCTTTTACCCACCTCCATTTCCTTATAACTCTCTCTCTCTCTCTCTCTAGTTTCTCCTGTAACGAGTACACTAGGGACACTGGTTTTTTCTTTGAACGTGGTTGTTATCAATGGAATAGAGTAAGACTTTGAGATGAAGAAATGGCGAGGAGAGAGATTTTATAATCATATGGCCTTGATTTGTGTTTCCTAAAAATTTTTGGAAAAAATTCTTTACAAATAAGTTTTCAAAAGTAACCAAATTAAACAAATTTTTCAAAAAAATTTTCCAAAAATTTTCCAAAACTTGTTTGGTAAACAAATTTTCCAAAACTTGTTTGGTAAACAAATTTTCCAAAACTTGTTTTTCAAAAATTTTAGTGAATAAGATGTTTTTTTTTTTTTAATATATATATAAAAAAAAAAACTCATCCATATGTATTTGCTTAGAGGCCCATTATTAAATCTATTTTCTTAGGGTATGTTTGATTAGCACAATTAATAATGAACAGATTAACAACCCATGATATTAGTGTAAGATGAATTATCCATCTAAATTAGTGAGATATATAATTACCTCTTGTTCACATTTATTTTACGATAAATATGGAAATATATAATCTCAATTATATGTATGTATTGCGTAATTAGTTGGGAATTAAAAAATACGTCAAATTTGTTTGATAGAATGACTATTAGAATATAATCTAAATAATAAAAATTACAACCAAACAATATAATGTAAGTCTCACAAAAGCCAAAAGTCAATTTTTAATTTATTTTGGATCATATCACCTTTTTTATTTTTTACACATTTTTAAAAAAAAATTAAAAGAATTAACTTTTAACCAACTTCTCAAAACAACCAGTAGATATCACACTGACTCACACTGGCTGGGGTAGAGCATAGAATGCTTTGTGATAAATTCAATGGTGTGGTTTATACGAATGTTTACTTATAAATTAAAACTTGATAATTTAAAAGTCGAAATTAAAAAAAAATTAAAAATTAATTTTTAAAATTTATTTAAGTTATTTTTTATTAATAAATTATAAGCAAAAACTATACTAAACAATCTAGCATAGACTCTCAGAATAAATAAAAAAAAATTATAAGCCGCTCAGATAAATTGCACCAAACAATACCATACTCTAATGTTGCACTATCATACACATACTTGTTGACAAATGTTAAAAATTTATAATTAATAATTTTAAATCCATCCACAATGATTTAAGAAAGAGTTAAAATTTTATGATTGACAAATCAAAAATTAACATTTATCATTTAAAATTATTGTACATCAAATTATATGAATTTTTATTTAGAGATTTTATACATTCTTCACTTAAAAAATACTAAAAAAGAAGGTAATAAATAAATAAAGAGCAAATTATAATAAACTTAAACTATGACCAATTTGCTTTTTGTTCCTCTAAACTTCAAAACTCAACAGTTAAACCACCTTAAAATATTATCTTGTTACAATTAATCATTTTTATTAGAATTTTGTTAGGGATTTACACAAAGTCAAATCATATATAAAGCACATCACACATTTATTTAATTTTTAGGGCAATAATGTATTTATCTAGTGATTCTGTTTGCACTTTACCACTAAGATAAAAAAGACAAAATACAAATGAAATTATTAGATAAGAGTATCATTGCTTTTAAAAAATCAATAACGGATATTATTATTCTAAAAAATAATAAGTGTATCATGTATTTCACACATGAATTGATTTCGTTAAAATTCCAAGACAAAATCCTAACAAAATGTATTGAGTGTAAAATGATGAAAATTCAAAGTAGTTAACTGTTACATTTTGAAGTTCAAAGGGACAAATGACAAATTAATTATATAGTTTAAGAAGGTTTATGGTAATTTACCAATAATAATAAAAAAAAAAATTATGCACTAGTCATGGGACAAATTCAAATAGTGTCATAATTTGTTATTAATTGATTAAAATTATGGGATCTAATATTCTTTCCTAACCGCTTCGCTTCCTCCGTTTGGAAAGCAAGTTTTGCACAAAAATAACCAAAACTTTCAATCACATCATTCTTTTTACTTTTTTATACGTATTTAATAAAATATTAGTAAAAAATTAATTTAAATAGTCAATTTCCAAACGAGCTCTAAAATCTCGTTTGGAAACATGTTATTTTAATTTTTTTTTTTGAATTTTTTACTAAAATATGAGATAAAAAAGAAAAATGCTAGAGACTCCCAAAAGATTTATCAAAAAAATTCTACCAAATGTCTCACATGGCTGTAAGATTCATACCATGTGGGTCTTATGTGTGTTACACCCACGTGAGACATTTAATAAATCTTTTAAGTCTCTAGAATTACTAGGAAAAAAAAATAGTATATTTGAAATGATTTTTTGACTTTTTACGAAAAAATTAAAAAAAAAAATAGAGAAAAAAAAAGGAGAAATCTTTGACATTTTTATATAATTTACTAATTTTTTTTTTACTTATTTAATGATTTTTTTAAAAAAATTTAGGTTAAAATCAACGAATAATATTAGAGTTCATAAAAAAAAAAATCATAAAATATTTCATAAATTTTTTTCATTTTTTAATTAATATATAATATTTTATTACATATATAATCTCACAATGAAAAATCTTCCATAACCATCCTTATAATATTTTCTTCATTATCCCTGTCATTACTCAAAATCAACCCTTCCTAAACAATGCTTGAGAATTACAAAAAGTAAGCATAGTGGAGAGTGTTATTACCGTAGGCAGTGATGAGCGTGGAATACGATGAGCATATCTTTGGTACGCTGAATACTCCAAAAAACCCTATTCACACCACACCCAGTTGTCACACCACATCTACTAGTCAGCGCAAAACGACAGTCCATAATATTAAATAATTAATGCTCAGAAAATTTTAACTTTTTGGTTAGATTTGTTTGGTTCCCGAGAAAAAATTAGAGAAAACTATCAGGCAAAAATAAGCATTTATGGGATACCCAAGAAAAATTTATCACGTAAAATTATGTAAAAATGCTACATTAGGATTATTATTTTTTATTAATAAATTATAAGCAAAAACTATACTAAACAATCTAGCATAAATAAAAAAAATTATTTAAGTTATTTAAGTTACTTAAACTTATTTAAGTTATTTCTTATTAATAAATTATAAGCAAAAACTATACTAAACAATCTAGCATAGACTCTCAGAATAAATAAAAAAAAATTATAAGCCGCTCAGATAAATTGCACCAAACAATACCATACTCTAATGTTGCACTATCATACACATACTTGTTGACAAATGTTAAAAATTTATAATTAATAATTTTAAATCCATCCACAATGATTTAAGAAAATCAATAATGCATGTTAGAAAAACCCAAAAATATTATCAACAATTTATGTATGTGTTATTTATTTTACAAAATTTATTTGCACTTTTTTAGTTTAAATTTTGAAATTTCATGTTTAAGTACTTGTAATTTAAAAAGTTAAGATATATATATATATATATATTTTAAATGATTTCACACCAATCAAAAAGATTATATTTGTAGATTAATTTTTTGGAGGGTCTTTATATGAGATGTTTTGAAGGACAACCCTTGTACAAAGTGAGATTTTTAAAATTTTCTGGAAGTGCTGGATATAAGTCAATATACCAATTCATCATTTTTTTTAACCAAATATGAAGCTCATAATAGGCAGCATAAAGATCCAAATAACCAAAAAAAAAAAAAAAACCACTATTATGAGCAAATAACAATGAAACTCAGTCAATTCAAAGCAATTTTGGAGTAGGGCTTTGTTTCCTTGGCATGCCCCCTTCAGGAATGGAGTTAAATTAACACTATTTGAATTACATGCTTTAATTATTCCCATGAATATTACTATGAAATAGATATCGTGTTAGGATCATGGACACCTAGAAAATAACAAGAAGCAATCACACATACACAGAGAACTCAAATATTTACGTGGTTCAGCCCAATGCCTACATCCACAGACAGAAACGAGAATTTCACTAAACAGAGCAAATACAAAACAG